TCCTGCTTTTACCAAAGCCAAAGGAAATCCTACTGCTGACTGCAGCAAAACCAGCAGCAAAATCATAATGACTATTTAAGATGATATTTCACAAGTACAGTAATGTGACAATCATGATAAAGTGGTGGTTCTTCCAGAGGCACCGTCTGAATTAATAGGGTCTTTCCAACTAGCTCTCCTTGGAATGGGTTGCAAGAGGTAAAATAAACTTTAAAGAATTTATTTTAAAAAGTCTCTAGGATACTTTGCATTTGCTGGATTTTTATTCATTTAACAAATAGCTGTTATATTCTGAAGCCCTTTTTTCATTTTTTTTTCCATCATTGTCATCTTCTCCTTCTTTATTGTAGCATGAGTAATCTAATTTTTCTGCATAGCATGTTGCAGTTTGATAGACAGGTCTCTGAGGGAAGCCTTATGTGTCAGCATCAGTGAAAATGACTTCTGAGGTTGGCTCACACCCCCACGCGAGCACGGAATCCAAATCACCCCAGAGTTACGCATCCGCCTGCCCCACGCCTCGCTGCTGGATAATGTATTCATTTGCCTCTGGCGAAAAAAAAAAGTGAGATCCTCCACTGCATACTGATGTCATGTGGAAGGAGCCATAATTGGGACTGGTCACGTGTGGCAGGCACCGTGAGCTGCTGCTTTTTGCCATCTGTGGAGATAAAGTTCAGGTCTCTGGACCCGTCGTGTGCTCCGAGGACACGCAGGGCTGGACACCCAGCAGTTCAGGCACGTATTTCCCCCCCAAAATAGGAAATGAAAATAGGATGCAGGCACCCAGGTCTGTCTTTTTTTTTCCAGAATTCCATTGTAGTGGCAGGAGATTTTTATTTGGCTCCATCACTACTTCAGTTTATCAGTAATAATTAATGACTTGTGCAATTGCATTTCCCACTTTAATCAAGGACAGATATTTCCAATTCAGAGTTGCAGCAAGAAAACATGCACAAATGGGCTGTCTTTTCTTTTTCCTTTTCACAGGCAGATGCAGACAAGGGGGAAAAAAAAGACTTTTTGCTCTTTTTACTTCAGGTGTATATAAAGCTTTACAGCTTCACTTCCAAAAGGACTCTCCAGGACTGAGCTTCCCAAGTTACATGCCTCATTCCCTCCTCCCAGCAGTGCACCCTAAATAATTTGGGTCCTGACTATTAGAAATCATCATGTGAAGCCCACTGAATGGACAGGAATATTTCCAGTGATTCATCTGTTTTCAATTACGCCCCTAATAGCACTCCTGCCCTTTCTTCTTGCTTGTAATAGCTGGAGAAGTTATTAGATCTGCTGGGGCTCTGGATGGTCTGCCACCAATTTCTGGGGACTTGGATCAATGCTCTTTGACTCAGTTTCCCTGTCTGTAAACAAGACCTTTAATATGGGCCAAGAGTCTCCAGGGTATGGAAGGTTTTCACCTGAGATGGAAGCTGCTGCTCCCTGGCAACACCACAACTGCTGTCAGTGATGGTAGAGCTGAACCTGCAGATGTGAAATACAGCTGGCATTTCTGATTTCCATGTCATCCCACCTCCAGGTAAGGAAATAGAGCTAATTTTGGGACAAACCCACCACATTCAGTCTTCTTAACCTTCAGTCTGGGTAACTGCAAAGATGAACAGAAGAATTTTATGCATAACATTTTAACTTGGCTTGATGTGCTTCCCAGTAGCATGTAAATAAACTGCCTGATTCGGAGCACTCTGTTCCTGACATATAACCCACTGCTCATTTAGCAGATTTAATTTTGCAGGCTTTGTGCATTTTTTATGTGACAATGATGATGTGAGGAGGCATGTCTTTATCACAGAAAGCCAACAGCACAGACTCTTTTTTACAAAAGTCCCTACTTGCTGCTCCTTCGGAGCAGGAGCTCAAGATAATTCTAGCACAGGGTGAGCCATCTGTGACATGGGGCAGCTTTACTTGCAAACTTTATAACTTTTAATTGCTGCTGTATTTCCTGGCACTTTCAAGTAATAATGTCAGTGGATACCAAACCTTAAGTACATAGGACTCAATTATGATCTTGCAGAGCACAGAGGCTGCTCAAATCCAGTCCAGACTGTGAACTCACAATCTGCTGTTTACTTAAAGTATAGAGAAAGCACTTGACCTCTTCTCAGTGGCATCCATGTGGAAACACTCGACAATAGAGGCCTTCCTTGGTTTTCTTAGGAATCACATTTCAACATTTTTATCTCCTCTAATTAAGGTCAATGGTCACACACTCCCACTTCTCTCCTCACCCCACTCTTCCAAAATTGCCGGCCCTTACCCAGCTCCAGTTACCCTGGGTGAAGCAAACTGGGCCCGATTTGTGCACGCACAGTTCCGGGGGGAATGAAGAGAGCCCTGGAGATTGGAGGCTTTGCTGAGGCCAGAGCTGTGAGAGCTGTGTCCAGCTCACGTGCCCGTCCACCACGACGAGCAGCAGAGCCCGATAGCCAGAAGCAAACAGTAGGCGGGGGGTAGGATTGCTGCGAATGCAATTCCTCTATGAGAACATCTCCTAACCCGCAGCACATGTTCCCACCCGGTGGGGAAGGTGTGAGCGAGCTCTGAAGGAGGACGGCGAGAGCGAATCTCATCTCCCTTTGCAACGCTGCAAGTGCTAATTGCAGGCGGGGAGGAAGGGTGTAGCTGGTAGACGTCTCGGAGGAAGCCTGGGGAGCACAGCACAAGGACTCCTGTTGTCGTTGTGGAAGGAACCCAGGAGTGCTTCACATCCCAGCATCCCTGGCAGGATTCACTTGGGCACTGCTGTGCTTTGTCTGCAGCCCTGGCTGCCTCTCCTGGAAAACCCTCACCGTTCTCAGCGGGGCACTTCCCAGGAATGAAAATGCTCCAGCCAAGGCCATCATGTCAGGATGCAAAGGATACCTGCTAGCCCACCTCAAGGCTGAAAGAGCACATCCCACTGAATCAGGGGCCTGTGGGGACTGGATTTATCATCAGAAAACCCCAGTACCTTTTCGGAGCAGTATACATCCTGCTTAGTAATTACCTTTTCTCTACTAAAAAGGTTATTTCTTTTCATTATTTTTGTTGAGTAGGTGGCAGCTATGAATGGTTAACAATGGAAGGCAGAAGTTGGTGAAATAAAACTCTGTGCTTCTAGAAGTCATTTCACATATATAAAAACAAAAGTGGGGCAGCCAGCTGCAGACCTTGGCATTACTTAGGCTTGTGCCTGATGCATTGCACCCTTTCCCTTTAAACTGACTTGCTCTCATTTCTCACACAGAGCAGAATATCACTTCCAGAAAAGAAAAGACCTAATGCTGTCCTTTTCCTTTTATATAAAAAAAAAGAAAGAAAGAAAAACCAGAACAAAACTAACAGAGTTGTGCCCTAAGTGAGATTGTCTTGACCCTTTGCAAAGCCAGATCCTCAGAGCCTCTGTCAGCACACGCTTCCAGCACAACTCTGCTCATGCTGAGCTCAGCCGTGGGTGCAGGATCAGGGCACCTGTTCTCTGTAGAGAATAACTACCCAAAATCATGATTTTTTTTTTCTCCCTATATACTGTTATTTTTAAGCTGAAAAATGTGTGTTTGGTTCTAAGGGAGGAGTAGGGCAGGCTGTGGTGTTGAGCAGCGCCGTGGGTTCCTCACCCCAGTGCTGTGGGGACTGCATCCATAGTTTCCAGGCATCAGGGAGATGTGTTAGAGCCATCTGACATCCCAGAGAGATGGATTTTTCATGTAAAAGTGGAAAGCTATTAGCTCCCAAAATGTTCTCTTGGCAGCAGCAGGGCAATAAGTGCTGCTACAGGGAAGGCAGGTGCTGGGCCAGCATAGTCCTGCAAAAGGTTTTGTGTTGTCACATATTGCAGAATAATGTAATAAAAACCAAGGACTTTTATTCCTGAAAGAGCTCAGTCACTCATGCCACAGGGAAGATTATGTTTAATTAAATATTGAACCCCTTTATATATCTGTACCAGGCTCTGAATCACACTCCCTCTCCTTACAGCTAGAGGACATTCCCACATCTTCAAAGCTTTTACAAATGAAGTTAGTTGAGAGTTTCATTTCCCCTGGAACTGAAATTGAGCTACTTTGGAGGTAGAAACCAGCAACTCTTGAAAATCCCTCTTTCAGCAGAGCAGGCCAGGAAGAGAAAAAATATGCAGTATCCCAGAAGTGAGCCACAGGATGACTTTTTAATAGCAGAAAAACTATATTATTATTTAGTATCTGTGCTTTGTTGCTGTGTTGGGGGGCAGGTTACACCTCTTCCACTGAGTTCGGTAATGGGCTCTTGCACTTCAGTTACTCCTTGTTTGATTCCTGCAACACTTTCCTGACTCCTTTTTGGGGAAATTTTCATATTCCTGCTAAAATTTAGTCACTGGGGACTGCTTAGACATTCTCAGACCCCCCTCCTTGGATTTAAACTCCATCTTTTTTGCGAGTGTGCTGTGAGTTTTTTTCATTGCTGGGATATGTGTTATCTTGCTCAATTGCATTTAATTTGGGCTCAATTTGCATATTCGCGTCCTGGGCTGAATCCGTCAAGATTTTCCCATGACACATTTTGCCTCTGCTGTTCCCATGACACATGTTCCTTCTGCTGTGGCAAGATCTACTCTGTGGATTCATCTTTTCTCCTGAGAAAAGTGAGGCTGTTTCTCCGAAGCTCAGGTTCTCGCCGTTAGGGTTTTCCGTGCCTTCCCCAGATCTGCAGCGATGTCAGCTCACGCACGCTCTTCCTCAGTTCAGCAGGGATGAAACTCAGAATCCCTTCTCACTTCAGTCCCTCAGCTGGCTTTTGAGCAAAAGCCTGTGGTTTTGCCGTGTCATCTGGTTTGCTGTTGGGTGTTTGGGGCTTGCTTGAAGCCATTTCTGCAGTCAAAAGACTCAGTTTTAAATACCAGCCAAAGGCTGGGCACGTGTGTACAGCATTAGGAGCCCTTTTCAAAGAGCACCTTGGGGTGAATCACTTGACCTGGCTGTGCCTCAGTTCTCCATATAGAACAGAGGAAAATAATATTAATGCAAGTCTAACTTTCTTCAGATACTGCGAGGCTCAGTGCACGACCAGAGGTGATGTTCTCGGGTATTACAGTAATAGGGGTCACAGGAGCTAGAAGGAAAAGTAAAGCAGAAGCTAGTTAAGACTTTCTCAGCTGCAAAGGATTAGTGTTCATTTTAAAATCTCTGGCTCTTGGCAAATTGGGACACTTACTAACCTGTAGCTTAGGAAAAAAGAAAAAAAAAAAAAAGGCAAAGCAGCTGAAACAAGGGTGTTAGCAAGTCTGGCAGCACAGCAGCACAGTGCACCTTATCTCTATCCTGGTGGAAAATCAAAGGCACATTTCCAGCTGTGCCCATGAGCACTGTTTGGTCACTGAACAAAGCAACTGGCACCTCGTATCCAACCTACAGAATGATCACAGCCTGCTTCAGGTGCACAAACAAGTGCAGAAATGAGCTCCATGCACAGAACTCATTGTTATTCAATCAAGCCTTTAATTGTAAATGTTTTAAGCAAGGAATTCTCTGTTTTATGAAAGTGTGCTCAGCATTACTCCGCCGCAGACATCTGTCATTCAGCAGGCGCCACCCAATAAAAGTGCTTAAAATGTTCTGTTCCTCAATTAAAATATAAACCAGAGCTGTTTAAGGGCTTTTACGAGGTGATTTCTATTTACCTGACAGATTTCCACACTGGAGGAGCACAAAGCAGGATTTCAGTTTCTGATCAGAGTGATGGCTCTGCAAAATAGTAAAGTTTCAATTGTTTAAATTTATTTCTTTTGGGGTTTGGGGGGTTTTAGGTTTTTTTGTTTGTTTGTTAGTTTATTTAATTTCAGGAATAATAAAAATCCATGAAGAAGAAAGGAATTCCTCTACCAGATAAAAATGAGGAAGAACTTGTGAGGATCATTGCTGATCACACATGCTGGAGGAACTGGGATCCAGGATGAACTATTGGAGCCTGTGTCAGCACCTGCTAACCTTTCCTTCCAAATTTCATCAAACAAAAGCCAGGGAAGAGGGTGCTCTGCTCTGGTCTGAAACAACCTCTTATGAAGAGAAACAAGACTATGGCTAGACAAAATCTCCCATTTTCCCTAAAGAAACACTGCATGAATGCTCTCATGGTTATTCCACTGCAGATGGATATTTAATCTCCCATCCTGCCTTACTATGGCTCTCAAAAAAATCTTTCTTTTCACCTTCCTGCTATTCAAGCAGGAGTGGATGTTGCATGGAAAACAAGCATTTTCACTAAAAAACCCTCTACTTTCTGTTCCAGAGCCTCAGGGACTTGCCTTCAGTGGCATGAGAGGTGCAGAAAAGGCTTTGCCATGTGTTTTGTGCAATGTGCTGATCCGTGGCCTCCTGGCAGCTCGTCACTTCAGTGCCCCTGGTCAGCATCAGGCTAGAGGAGGATGGCAGTGTCAGGAGAAGATTGTGCTCTTGCAAGACAAAGCTTTCAGCACCGAACCTTAAACCTTCTGGTTTTGCCAGGTAACAATATGTTTTGGACCAGTTTGCCCTGTCCTGCATGGCCATTAAGCCATTGTGACCCTTGACCACCCCACGGTCACAGCTGATTTCTGACAGCATGGGCAAGCCAAGGATGGAGCCTGTGGGGAGGGAAGGTGGCTGGGTTTGCCCCATCTCCTCCATGGCTGGGTGCCACCCTGCTCCCCCCTGCAGCTACTTTTGGGCACCTGCAGGTCCTCAGAGCCTCCACAGCAAGGCAAACTGAGATTCCACATGGCACTAGCCTAGCCCAGACAATGCAAGCTTCTCCCAGGAGTTCCAGGGATCCAGCGTTCATCCTGCCACGCCTTGCTGAAGGGACAAAGCTGCCTGTGCCAGAGGTACCAATAATTGCTGATGCTCAGCCCCAAGTTGGTGAGTCCCAGCTGAGCTGTCTCAATTAGATTATTCAGGGGAGATGTTAATCCCTTTTAAAATTAAGGGAAGGAAAAGCAAACGCCAACTAAACCAAACAACAGGTAAACAAGCAACTGCTGGATTTTGCACCACAGGTATTCAGGGGAGGCTTTCTGCCTTGAACCACACTGCTTGGAAAATGCTGGGAAATCTGATGTTAGTCCTTAAGTCAATGTGGTGTGTGTTTTTTTTTCCTCTCCAGCAGCAGCATGAGTTAAGGACGAGGCATTAGCCCTCACTGTGATTCCCACAGTGTCAGTTCAAGTCAGATTCTTCCCCTTATTTATATGTTCCCTTTTGTGAGTGTATCGATTATACAAGTGAGTTCTCAAGTGCCTGGGCACTCAACACAGCCACACAATGGAGGAAAGCATCCAGGTTAGCATGGAATTGCACATGTGCTGAGCATGCCAGGGGACAGGAGTAAATAATGACATGTACAATTCAAAGCCACCTCTTCAGAGCTTTCTGTTTTGCTGCACGGTGACTAAAAATAAAACCTCCATTTCAATTTCCAAGGTGTAGCAACCAAAGATTGTCAGAGTTATTCTTAGCCATGGCAGAATTGCCACCTTCAGGCCATTTCTGAACACACGAGATTATTCCATGACAATCCAAAATCCAGCACAAGCTCCTCCCTCCCCTCTATTTGTTTTACCCTCTGCATTATGAATGCTGTGGGTAAGGGCTGTCTGTTTCACAGGGGGCTTGGTATCACAGAAAGATGGTTGTTGATCTCTGGATGCCTGCAGGCCAGCAATCTGTGCTACAAGTTACCCCTCAAAAAGAAAAGAAAAAAAAAAAAAAGAACCAAAAAAAAGACAAGTGGATAAAACTGATACAAGCATCTGTAACAAGCTAATTGGACCCTTGTGGGCAACCCAGCAGATACAAAATTAAAACAAACAAAACATCTCATTGTACAACTGTACTTCCAGGACCATTATCACAAAGGGACCCGTCTGGATTTTTATTTTAGTTTCATTTTGTCTAAAAGGACCTAATTACAGCCAGAGCTGGAGTATCACGAGTCTGTTTTCATCTATAAAGAAAGGATATTTTGCCTCTGAACCTGAGAAATTGTTAGAAGTTGGTAATTAGTATGACTTGTTAATAGAGTTTGGCTGTGATTAAGCTGTGATTGAGTGTGAGTTTGGTTCTTGTCAATGTGAATGCCTGTAAGGTTGAGAGATGTTTAATGAGACACCTGTTGTCAGCAGCACCCGGTGGGCTTTGTTGCTCCTGATTGGAATTTGTACCACGGAGCAGCAGCAGCACCAAAACACAGCAGCAGCACTGAAATGCAGCTGCAGCAGCAGCAGGCACAGCCCCAGCTGGAGCATCACTGGCAACAGCCAAAGGTCCAGAGAAATGGAGGCTTGGATCCCCTGCACTGGAAAGATCCAGGGATGCTCCATGTCCCACAGGTCACAGTGCCTGGGGTGATCCATCATCCAAACCACGCAACTACAGCTGACTTGGGCAGTGCAACAGGCAAAAACACTGACATTTTGTCTGGTCACTAGGGAATGATGGCCTGTGCTGCTGTGGGATGGTGTGTCTCTGGGAGATGGCAGGAGGGGGGATGAAGCTGAGCAGGTTTAAAGCTCTCTACCCCCAAAATGTCCAGCCCTTGGGGAGCTGGCAATAGAGGGGCTCCTTAGAGTGTGACCAAAAACACTGACATTTTGTCTGGTCACTAGGGAATGATGGCCTGTGCTGCTGTGGGATGGTGTGTCTCTGGGAGATGGCAGGAGGGGGGATGAAGCTGAGCAGGTTTAAAGCTCTCTACCCCCAAAATGTCCAGCCCTTGGGGAGCTGGCAATAGAGGGGATCCTTAAAGTGTGACATTGGTGGAGAAATGTTCTGCCCAGCCTATCTCTTGATCATCCTGCCCCTTGGGCATTTTCCTCAAGGGAAAATGTCCCACTGAGTGACTCAGTACCTCTTGGCCTTTGAACAGAGAAAGTTTCATTCATTTACGATATTTTGTCTCAAAAATCAGCATAATTTTCCACATGACTCCATATAATCACTCCCCACACCAAAACCTGGGCCTAATGACAAATTTGTGTACTTGGGGCTAGGTACATAAAATATTATTTCCCCTGAATATCTATTAAACATTTTCAAGTGGCTGCAACTTAAAACATACCTGGGTTTTACATGCAAAAAAGCCAAAGAAGCTGGAAGCAATCACGATAGCCACTGTCGCAGCCTTTTAATGTGTAATGCCTGAGCTGGGAACAGGAGCAGAAACATTTCTGCTCTGGAATGTGCCTCGGGAAGGAGCCCTTGGCTTTGTGATGGATCGGAGCAGCCACTGGATGGCATCGCTCTACACGAATGGACCTGCGAGACGAGCGCTCAGCACGGGCTGCTGTGCCAAGGAGATTTATTCAGCCCCGAGAGGCTCAGGCCACCGTGACCTTACCAATTCTTTAAATAACATTCAGAGTTGTCCTGGCTGCCTGACCGGGAGCTTTGGGCACAGAGTTTGGTCAGAGAGAACAAAGCCGACACCCTGAAGCAAACCTATTTCTAGGCTGAGCGCGTTTGTCTTTCATTTTACATGAGATCAAATATTCAGCCAGTTTTTGATGGGTTTCCCCTCTCATGAGATGGGGAAAAGTGTCATTTGTAATTTCTGGCTGTATCGAACCAGTGCAGAGCAGGCGTGCCCGGCCAGCAAGTGATGGCTTGACTGAAGCCCTGGTGCTGGCCAGACAGCTCAGCTCCCTGGGGCTCACAGGGTGAGCTGAGCAGCTTATTTCTGTGTAGCAAAAGGAAAAACCAAAGAAAAAGAAAAAGCAATTGTTGTCTGGCATGTTCTGCTTTGCTGTGAGCTCCAGAGCATCGAGCCTGGGTTGTTACCCGCGTGTGGTGCTGCTCCGTGCGACAGCAGCCTCTCAGCACGTGTTAATACAGCTTTGCTTTCTGCTACATCACTTATTGATAAGGAATCAGCTGGTGGCCAAACAACCTGATGTTCATATTTTCCCTGGGGTTCTCTGTTTCTTTCATTACTGACCCTCCGTGTTGGCCTTGTTCTTCCAGTGACTACATGTGGCCAAGCCAACCTGAGAATGTCACCGGCCGAGTTCACGCCCGAAAGAAATCTGCTGATGGCTTTGGAGGTGCAGCAGGATATTTGGGACTGCAGCCCCACAGAAGGTGTATCTGAAGGGGGATACACTATTTGTGGGGGTCAGTTGGCAGTCATGGCCAGCAGATGTATCTTCAGTTAGGACATGACATCTTCAGGTGAGTGCTTGTACATGGGCCGGTAGCTACAGCTGTTCAGGGCACAGAACTTCCTGTTGGTACTGCCCCAGTTTTGGCCAGACTAATAAATTTAATGATCATATTCAATTACATAACTCCAGTTACGGTGGGATTAAAATCAGATCATCAGTTCAAGTCCTGCAAAAGCCCCTTCGCTCCCAGTTCTCAGTTCTGTACTCAAACCCCTGCACCCAGCTGCCTTTTTAATACTGGAATGGTATGATGAAAAAATTGCGGTATAAAATAAATGCTACATTTGTTTTATGACCCCATTTGTCTCCTTTTTCTGGACTTACCTCCCAATCCAAACAACAAGAGAACTGTATCCATCTTGATGTGCTCAGCAGTCCACTGGTAAATGCTTTCTGCTGTCAGAAATGCTCAGGCTTGGTGGGAAACTGAGATTATATCAACAGGAGGCTGCTCAGGTCCTTCTTCTGGTGGCCACAGCTCTGCTACAGTGGCTGTAAGAGGAGACCAGAACAACTGACAGTGATTGCCTGTTTCATGTCTCCTGTTTGGTACCACTGCTTGTGTCTCCCAAGGGAAGACCTCTATGAAGTGGCACCAGAGAGCTCAGTGGTTTTAATCTCTTTCCATTGACTTTAGAGGAAATGGCAATTTCTTCCCTACTTCAGCTTCAGAGCTGTGTTTGAACACAGGAAGGATAAATCCAAATATCTTCATCTATTTAATAGCCAGGAGTGTAAAGTCTAAAATAAGGGTGTTTCCTACTGTTCCTACACCGCACGGCGGGATGTGTTTGGAAAAGATCCCCTTGGACCCAGCATTTATGGGATGGCAGAGACCCCAGCTTAGGGTACCCACTTCTGTGCTGTCTGTTCTAAGGGAGATCTGTTTTAATGCCATCACCTCAGCACACAAATTTACCCTGGATCTTTCTAGACTCAGGGCAACACTCCAGATCTCCAAAAAGTCAAGGTGACCTTGGAAACTGCAGGGCAGCCCAGAAAACTGGCGGGCAAAAGGAATTTAAAAAAAAAAATCAAATTCTAGACTAATTCCAGACCATTACAAAACTATGAGAAAAACTGAACTGTATCTGCTGAAGTGTCTCATTCTGTTTGGTGGCACAATGTAGCAGGGGATCTGTCACTGTCAGCACTGCTCTTGTCTCAGTGAAAGCCGTGGTGCCTTTCACCACCAGGGCATAAAAATTCAAGCCAGCTGTCCCACCTGCCGGAGCAGCTTCTATTCTGGGCTCCCATGTGCCATGGGTATTGTGCTTATTGATTAGCTGGGGCTTATTGTCCCTTGACATTGCTAGGGAATATTCTGCTGGTTATAATCACTGGAACTGACACAGGCAGAACATTCCAAGCCAGGACGGGCTGTGCCAGGCTGTGGCTACATCTCCAGGTTAGACTGCGGTGGGAATTGGTACAAAATGAAAAGAAGCTTAAAAAAAAAGATTGTTTTGAGAAGTCACCCAAGTCAGAAAAGACTGGGGGCCTCTGTGACTCTGGCTGTCAATAAGGTGTTAGGTAGGGGAAGATTAACACCCTTTAGCAATGACACAGCTGTTCCATTGAAGGTGATAACATGCAATCAGGGGAGGGAAGAGTCTAGCACAGAATAATGAACAGAGCAAGCAAAGATCAGTAAAATGGAAGGTTTTAGCCCAAAAAGCTGAAATAGCCTCTTAAAGCTGATTATTTTAGTGGGTATAAATAAGTATAAAAAGATCCAGAGCCTCACTTTACGTCTGCACAACGAGCTCAAATATTTACCCCTCTTTCTAAAATCAGCCTGGCTCCTAAGAAGAAGAAAAATAGTGATAATGTAGAGAATAAAGTCTCTTATCTGCCTTGGCAGTGAGCGTGCAGATAAACACAAAAATCCTTACCCTAAAGACAGCATGTAGCACTGAATCTCTTCCTCTGAAAGCACAGCAAATTGTGATAAGAGTAGGGTTGGGAAGACAATAGATTTAATAGTGGAAAGAACCTAGTATTTTGTCGACTCTTGTCTTCCTTGGAAAGGAATCTGGACAATGAATTTCTCCCTCTACTGTTAATGGCTAAAGGTAGAAATTAGTGTTTTGATCCACCCTCAGCTTTGCTGCTCACCTGAGCTTGTCCACTGCATCAGGAACCCCCAGGTCAGTGGATTTCCCCTGGGGACTGAAACATCAGGATGCTTAATGCAGAGTTAGTGGTGACAATGCCAGTCAGGGGTGCAGTTCCAGCAGATGTGAGGCCACCATTGTAACATCTCTGCTCTCCCTGTGGAAGAACAGCAGATCCTTAGCCACATGGCCTGTTCCATTATTAGATTTTGGCTGGACTTGAGGAAGATGGGGGGTGTAGCTGAGAGATGGAGGAGGAAAAGCGATCACCCCTTTAAAATGCAGCTGGGTTTAAGCTGCTCATGAACCGTACTGTGAAGAAAGCTCAGCCTTCAGAGGCAGTGTTGGGGGTCTCAGCTAACACACATGCAAAGAAAATCCAAATCCCATGGCTCTCACTGAGAGACCACTACCAAACCTTTCAGAGCCCTGAATTCCTGCTGGGTAGGAACTGAGAATTGCCTGCCTATTCCCTACCTGACCCACTGGTCCTTTCCCACCTCACTCTCCACTCCCCATCCCATGGATTACACGCACACACTGAAAAGTGATTACTCTCAGCCCCCCAACCCAAAAGGGAAAGTCCTGTTCCCCCCTGCTGGACAGAGGCCAGCCACCCACCTCTGGCCAGACCTGCCCATGTCCCTGTCACTCCAAGCTGCCCCACAGCCATCCCACAAAAGCTGTTTGAAGGGATGAAGCGAGACAGGCCGTGCCACCGGCTCGCAGGGATGTGACAAGAGCTGCATCTGCTTGCTCTCCGCGGCGCTCAGGAGCTGTGACATTGCTGTGGGTACAGCCTGGAACCGAGCAGGCAGGAGCTCCAGGGAAGAGGAGAGGGTCTGGACAGAAACAATAACAACCACAGGGACACCACCAGCAGCAGCGGGAGCAAAAATGCTGCTTTACCACTTGTGAGTGCAGCAGAGCATATGGCCAGTCTGGGACTGTTGTCAGCAGCCCAGAATGGGGTAGCTCTATTCTGGCAAACTCCATTTTTTGTCTTTATGACCAAAGAATGGTTGCATGTTGGAAGCTCTGTAGTTGCTAGGGGAAGAGCCATTAATACGCTGGTGACTGAGAAGTCAGCCAAAGCAAGTGCTGAGATAAAATTACTTTTTCCCACTTCTGTTTCACCCTGAGTGTGTTATTCAGTGTGTTTTCTCTGCTCAGGGTACCTCACACACACTGTGCTGTGCTAACTTCTTTGTCCTTTCTGATTTTATTTTTCACCTTTCCTAACCATGATTCCAAAGAATACTAATCTGACAGACTAGAAAGACCTCTTACATCATAAATCCCTACATACTGGCTGAGTAAGACTGCAGACTGTTTCTCTCCCATAAAAAAAAACCCTTTTCTCTAATAGCCTGAAAATTAAGAATAGAAAATAAAATAATAGTGATGGAGATGGTGCTAAATCAATGCATGAGACTGGGAATACATCCAGAGGAGGGTGATCCTACAGAATAATGGATAATTTGGTGATGGGGCTCAAGGATGCTACCTGGTTCCCAGCACACAAGAAGTTAACATGCTTCTCCCTGCCCAGCTCCTGGGGCAGCTGTGCATAATCTCATTCCAGAATAACAATCGTTTTTTTCCCTGCAGTTTTACTCTGCTGGGGCAAGCAGTGCCTTCCCAGGTAAGGCTCTCCCCTCCCACACTTGCAGCCTGTTTCTCCATACAGATCACTGCAGCCCTCAAATCATGTCTGCACAAGGTGTCAAGTCCAGTTCTGGAGACATTTATTCCAAAGCTAAAATGAGTATTCTTATTCCAAAATAAATACATCTGTAAATCTCCTGAGTGGTGGAGAGAATACAAGGTGAGCACCCCCTCAGCATCCTCCCTCCCTCCAGCTCAGTCCCATCATAAATAACAGTGGAGCTGAACTATACACAGAAGATGACTTTTTTTTTTCCCAAAGCCTTCAAATCTCCTGAGTGGTGGAGAGAATACAAGGTGAGCACCCCCTCAGCATCCTCCCTCCCTCCAGCTCAGTCCCATCATAAATAACAGTGGAGCTGAACTATACACAGAAGATGACTTTTTTTTTTTTTTTTCCCAAAGCCTTCGTTTTAAAGCAACTGTTCCCAATTCTCTCCAGTAATTCCCTAGACACATCCCCTTTCCCCTGCTACACAGGAGTATTGCTCCAAACCATTCTTGAATGAAGTCAGCTCTGCTTTGCCTCTTTCCCCACCACTCAAATCCACACCACTTACAGACATTTTCAAAACTGGGAAACAATACAAAGCCACAATTTGTGTGAGCATGCAATACCCTGCAAACACAACTATTCATTAAAAAAAAAATAGACTAGGCACTATGACTGCCAGCTCCTGACTCTGCTGTGACACAGACACATTTTTTTTTTCCACCAGAGGATTTTTTTTTTTTTTTTGCCATGAGACACCGAACAAAAGTCACGAGTAGTTCCTCTGATCAAAAGAAATCTCTGTGAGAGTCTGTGGCAGCTTCACCCCATCCCTTCATGCCAGCCACTGCTCATTTCCCTGAACACTCGCTCTGCTCTGCACTCTTGAGAAAGTCAGAGCAGATTCGGCACTGTGCAGTAATACACTGAGAACAAATGTGTTGTTTCTGTCAGTGGAAAAGGAGTTTAACTATTCCTAGGCCACAGGAAGCTCATATGCAATTCCAGGATCTGTTAATATTTTGCCTATACCATCAGTATGGATGTGCCTGCCCTTGTGGTGCTGATCAGTGGTGTAAATAAAAATGTTACTAATTTATAAAATGCTTTGCCCTTATTTAACAGATCAATTAAAATCTTGATAAAATTATAACCATTACAATAGTACATTACCAGTACATCATAAGCTGTATGGAAATCTTCTAAATCTTAAGTTCATTTTCTCTACAGATCTTCATTTAATCACAGGGTCAGGGTGGGATTTCAGATGCAAGGCTGGGTCCCCTGTATCTGCTCCCTGGCACTATCAGCACCTCCAAACACACCAAGTGACTTCAGCCTGCTCTACATGCAGATACTGAGCAATAAATAATGAGCCACATAATTATAGTTTGAGTATTGAATCAGCCTGTGAAAGCTACAAGTGTAGGAGGTGAGTTTTGTGAGGACAGGAACAGCATTTGCTGAATGTACTTGGGATAATAATAATCTCGTTCAGTCAAACCATGAACGAGAGTGCTTTGGGTAGAAAGATCCAGAGAAAAATGCATCTCTGTTCTGCATGAGATTTGGCTATTTTTTCCATTGGCTTCCACACTAATTTGGGGCAAAACCACACTGACCTTTTCCATTAAAGAAAACAAAAGTGAATCTCCAAGGCAGTGGGAACCATGAAATCAGGAGCTGGAATACAACATTGTGGCTTCTTTTTAGAAAGCCAAAGAGAAGCTAGGAACCTCAAAGCCCAGAAGAGCCAGGAATCCTGGACCACCATCCTTACAGCTTGCTGAGTTCCAGTGTAGGGATGTGGAAGGAAAAAGCCCTGATGTGGCAATCCCTGATGAGTGTCCTATTGTTGTAAGCTCCCAGCTGACCTGCACCAAAGCCATAAGTCTTGTAACACCAACTGCCCACTTCAGCCTTTCCTCTGCAGGAAATAAAGAGGCAGCTTGGGATGCAGTGCTCCAAACTTCTCACTGCCTTGGCAGATGCACAGCAAAGGAAGCAGGAGCCAAGGAGAGCAGTGGCTCCCAGAACCTCCCCAGGCAGCTGTGATAAAATCAGCTAATTGGTAGGGAAAAGCAGATTCTCTTGTAACTTGGACAGCGCCTGATCCATCAGTTTTCTTTAATGGAAAACTGTCCCTTGAGGGATTTGCATTGGCTCCAGTCACTAGTGTCATGAAAACCACATGGGTAACCATGAGCTTTATATCATGTTTGGGCAAATACTCCATCTCCATGTCTTTCAGAAGAGAAGAAATAAATCATTATTCAAATTTCACACATGGTGAAACTGAGGCACCAGGAGGTGCAGCACCCTGACCAGTATTTTCAAATGCACTGGTCCAGCTGGGGCTGGTTGTTAGCTCTGCTGACCTCTGCTCTTTTAGCACAGGCTTCCATGCCATCACTGCACACAGGCAATCACAATGGCAAAAGATCATGGATTCATCTCTCTCACTCTTGAATCTGCAGCATCACTGCTCAAATATGGCTTCATATTGAAATATTCTGAATTTTTTGTTTAAATGAAAGGATGCATTTCAAGGTGAGAGAAGAGTGAGGCTGATTCTTTGTCTGGAAAAGAATATAATTGTCTCAAGAAAATAGCCCTCATTGATTCACATGGAACAATTGGGGCGCCGTTAATAGCTATTAGTTTGGTGATGAGAAGGCCCTGTTTAGTGAGGCTAAAGGATTAAAGAGGAAACAATTTGAATTCTGTCTCTCACAGCACACCCCCTCCAAAACCTCCTCCGCAACTCGACCGCTGCCCGGCTGACTTTAAACTGCCAACGCTGACAAAAAGGGGATGTTGCATCTTTTACAAACAGCCTTTTGTTTGCTGCTCTGACACCTGCGAAAAGCAAAATTGTTATTTTCTTGCTGCTTGTTGCTAGTTTGATGCCCGCTCTGGGGCCCTACATCAGAGACACTGCTCAGAACAGGTTGCAGGGGTCCGTTTCCGTGCTGTCTGCCGATGGTGCTGCCTGGAGGAAAACCATGGAAACGGAGTTTGACAGGCTCGCGGGGACCCGCGGCTGCCAGAGCCGCTGTCTTTGAGCGCCTGATGAAGACATCACAGAGCAAACACAACATTAAAACACTGCCGGCTGCTTTGCATCACTTAGAATGCAAATCTCTTTGTTCTGCTCGGCCTTTGCATTTGGTAGCCAAGGAATCCGTGCCATGGTCGAACACGGATTTGACGACCTTTTTTTCCTTCCATGCACACTGCCCCAAAAAAATAATAAATCATTTGTTGCGGTAGGGAGGTTTGTGTGGAGATGTACATGTGAAACAGCCCTGGCTTTTTGCAGTTCCTGGGATTTCTGTGCACAAATTAAATGCCCACATTGCAGAGAAGAGCGGGCTGGGCTGCTTTGTTGCTCCCTGTGCATTATTTGATTTGGATTCATTTACATGGCAACTCGCAGGGGTACATTTTGTGTCATCTTTATGTCATGGATC